AGACACTGCGTCTGTTACTCATTTCCATAGCATTTTGCCCCACAGGCTGTCCCGTGTTCTGCTTTTCCCGGTTGGGGGTGAGTGTAGGTAGCTTTCTGTGCCTGCCGTGGAAGGGAACGTGCTTCTGTCTCACCAGTGCAGACGCTGCTCCTTGTCCGTGGACCTCTGCATGCTTGTCTACATTTGTTCCGTGACAGCGTTCTGTGAGCTGTGGCCCACTGCAGAGATCTGAGAAGCCGTCTGTCGGCTCCATGGTATCAAGTGTCACTTTGGGGAGAACAAGGCCTGAGAATGGCAGAAATATTTAAAATTCCTGCAGGTGTCAGGTGCTGTGACTACAGTGACTGGACTGAACGACCCTTGTTGGTGTGTATCCACCCTCCTCGCTGTTAACAAGCCTTGGTTTTGATGTCAGGGTTTTTGTTGTATTTAATGAAGGGGAGAAACTACAGAGTATGTTCGTTGTTTATAGGGCATTTAAGTTCTTTAATGCTTCTTCTGATATACTTTGTGGAAAACACATAGGTGTGTGTTTGCACGTGAATTATGACAACACTGAATGGAGAAAAGGGTTTGGCTCAGGCTGTCGACCTGTGTAGATTTGGAATATCGCCATCTCGTGAGAGAGGGTGTGTGTGTTTGGACGGTGGCAGACAGAACCTCAAGGAACCCAGTTTTCTAAGAACTGGCAGTGTTTTCATTCAACAACATGCTTTCAACATCAGAGATTATTCCCGATTTTCGGGATTACATCTTGAACGAGAGGCACAGTCTCTGTTTTCCTGGTGTGGAAGGAAGGAGAGTCAGCTGGAGATGGAGAAGGAATAGTCAGGGATGTGGGCAGACTTTCCTGAAGGGTGAGGCCGGCTGCCAGAACTGGTCCTGGGGCCGCCACCAAGAAGGAAGCCATTGGCGACCAGGAGTCATTGGTGATGGCTGTGGCCAGGGTCGTTTGAGTCAGGTAGTGGGAGGGAGGGAAACAGGAGTGCCCTGGGCTCTTTGGAGAAGTTTCTCTGAGAAAGGGAAAGTTGCTGTAGGATACAAATCAAGGGAGGGTGGTTGTTTTTAGGAGTGGGGGGCGGGGATGAAATAAACGCCAAGAGCCTTGAAAGCAGATCCGAAGAGTTGAGGGTTGGAGAGAATGGTGTGGAGGGATTGTCTGTGAATCAGGAAAATAACCACCTTACTGCCCAAAAGAGGGGGCAGTTAGCTAACCACTGTGCATTTAGGTAAGTTTCTGGGGGTTCTGCCAGGTGGCCCCAAAGCAGGAATGTCTGCTGCCTGTGGCTAGTACGGGAGATGCTTGCCCTTCTGCTATTTGAACATCTTGGGAACAGAAGCCTGGTGGAGTGAACATACAGCAAAACCATAATTATACTTCCTTGTATTTTCATAAGAATATCTCTTAAAACAGGGGTTGGCGACCTGGCCCGTGGGCTGCCTGCTTTTGTAAATGAAGTGTCACTGGCACGCAGCCGTGCCCGCTCGGTGTGTCTGTCTGCTGCCTTCACACCTCGCTGGCAGAGGCCAGTAGTGGCAGCAGAGACCATATGGCCCACAAAGCCAAGAATATCTCCTGTCTAGCCCTTTATAGAACAAGTCTGGTCACCCTGGCTTAAGTCGTAGTCCACTCAAGTTAGTGAAATTCCAGCCGGAAGCAGCATCGTGCCTGATTTCATTGGGGATTTTCTGGTATTACTGTGTGTACTCCTGTATGTGCAAAAATCAAAAAGGAAGCTACAGGGACGAGGTTCCCAGAGCCAGAGCCTCCTGCTGTGAAATTTTCTACTGCTGGGGCTTGGGCACCCAAAATGTGCCCTAAAAAATGCGTAAACTGCCCCTTGGTGAGGGTATGGGCAGCTTTGTGACAAACGAAACCAGTGCTGGCTCAGTAGAAGTTGTATAGCAGAGCTGAAGTGAGTAAATGAAAGACGCCTTCGTCCCTTCATCTGTCCCCGCTCCGTGGGAATGGCACTTGGGCGGGGGCCAGCGCTCTCGGTTCCAGCGGTGGCCGTTCAGGGCCAGAGAGAGCGGTTTGCATGTCTCAGGACCTTTGTGTCTTGCACCCCGCGCCCCTGGGGAGAGAGCTGTGTTCACCGTTTCAGCCAGGAATCAGAGGCGGGTGACTGACGTATTCTGTAAGAAAATGGGGCCTCCTCCGGAGCCGGGTGGCTGAGACACAGACACACGTTGGCTTTGTGCGCTGAGAAGCTGTGAGCAGATGCTGAGTGGGGCACTGAGTGACTTATTGTCAAACCCTGTGGTCTTCCAGTACGCTTGTCAGGACAGCCAGCCTGGCTGGAGGGGACCCTGCCTGCCTCGGTGTGTCTGGTGCTTAACCCACCCCAAAAGAATTTAAATCCAAAATGCTACCAATTTTTTACACACCCCTCCCCTATACACATAAACACATCCACGTACACTCTTTACATCTTCTGAAGCACAAATCTAGTAAACATTTAATTTTTTTTAAGTAATTTCATTCGAATATATCACAATTCAAATTGAAACAGATCATTTTCTGAAATATATAAAGTTTAAAAGAACATAATCCAGACCAGGGTTTTGTTTGGTTCAATTCCTGACGTCCTGTGGTGCGTGCAGAATTGGAAAGGCCATTGGCCTGAGCGCCGAGAGATCTGGATTTGCTTCCACCTCTGTCACTTTAAAACAGACACCACGAGGCCCACACAGTGCATGTGAGCTGGGGGCGGGCTGCCTGGAGGCAGATCTGGCTCCGCTGCTCCCTGGCTGTGGCAGCCCCTCACTTCCCCTCTCTCAGCTTAATCTGCAAAATGGGGTCAGCTTGGCATCTGCTTCGTGGGGCTTCTGAGGACTGGGTGAGCCCAGGGCCCCGGCTCATAGTAAGCACTCAGTAATAGTAACTTATTAGAACATACAAAACAGGAAAGGACCGCGTGGTCCTCAGACTCCCTTCTGGCTAACCACATTTGTAGCTGGTTGCTAACCTTTCAGATCCAGGATGGCGTCAGATTGATCTGTCACCGTCACTCATGTTTTAAATTGCAGAGATGAGCTAGAGCATCAGGCTAATGCATTCAGGGAGTCACCATTCCTTCGTTTTATTAAATAAACATCAAATGTAGATTAGAATCCTCGATCTAAAATAGCTGTGCCCTTTAAAGTAAGCAGCCCAGCAGATTGTAACTGCATGAGCTCTGATTCAGGGCTGCCCGCCATCTTCACGAAGAGTTTGACAGATTCTCGCAGGAGCCGCGTGTTCGGCTCAGTTGGGGAGGGTTTGGTTGGTTGGTGGTTGTTGTAACATTTCGGAATGACACTTGCAGTGACAGCATCAGGTGCTCGCACAGAGCGTAAAGGGCCAGGAAGGACGCCAGGCCTGGCGACTCTTTCTGCTCCCGGCATCTCTTTGGTCTCAGCCTCACCTGTCCGAGGACCCAAAGGAGTCTCAGAAACCATCGCTAGGGGTGCCTCTGGGGCCCACTTTTCCCCGGAAGCTGTTGTTGGGGTGTAATCGGAGAGTGTGCTGGGCGACAGAGGCTTCGTGGGTGAGAGTGGGGGGTGACGCGCCTTCTGTGGTCCCGGAGAGTCTCATCTTCACCACGTCCCCTCTCCTGCCTGCCTAGGGCTCCCATTGGGTGACGTCATCATGGCCAGCTCAAAGCCCGCCAACCACACTGGCCTCGTTGGTAATTAGCATCCCGCCAGACCCACTTGCAGGAGACCAGCAGCCATCATGTAACCTGGGGGCGAGCATGGGCATCTCACCGTGTGCAGAGCAGTGGGTCTGCTGACTTGATTTCGTTTCTTTAAGCAGAAACGTTAGTGTGACCCTAGCTTAGGGTCGCACAGAATGCATTGGGCTGTTGAGCCCTGTGTTGGAAGCCTCCTGACCTGGCCCCTTGTTCCAGATGGGGAGTGGAGTCACAAGGTGGCCACGTGCTTCTCGGTGCCAAGCAGGCCCTTGGGCAGGCCTCTCTGTCCCATTGCCTCCTTCCCAGAGTGACAGGCATTCCTTGCCCTCCTGGGTTCCTCCATAGTTAGTAATCCCTGTCCTAAAGACACACCGGAAAGTTCTTGCAGCGTTGACACAGGAGCAATCCTGTTGATTCTGGAAAGTGTTTCTTGATGGCCCACCCTCAGTTTCAGCCTTGGGCCTCTCTGTTCTCTTTATCCTCCCCTCCACATAGGGTTTCAGTTTGTCTCCAAAACCTAAGAGTCCCAGATCCCAGTCTGAGCTCCAGGCTCCAACCTGAGCCCACCCCTGCATCTCTTCTGCCCATTGGAGCTCTCCCTCTGGCTGGTGTCCTCAGCACTTCACACTCAGAGGTCCAGCTCTTCATCTCGTCCTCCTCCGAGCCCCAGACTCTGCTGTCCATCCAGGCGAAGGGGCTCGCTCTCCGCTTGCTCCCGTGGGAGTGGGAACGGGATGAACCACCGTCATCCTCACTCACCCTGTGTGTTAATGTCCTGGGGCTGCCGCAACAAAGTACCACACACTGGGTGGCCCAAACAACAGCAGTTTATTTTTTCACAGTTCTGGAGGTGTCGGCAGGGTTGGTTCCCTCTGGAGGCTCTGAGGGAGAATCGGGTCCGGGCCTCTCCCAGCTCCTGGTTGCTCTGGCAATCCTTGGCCTTCCTTGACTTGTGGCTGCACCACCCCCACCTCTGCCTCCATCCTTGCACTGACTTCTTCCCTCTGTCTCTGTGTCTCTGTTTCTTTCCTTATAAGGAGACCACTCTTTGAGGGTCTACCCTAATCCAGTAGGACCTCGTTTTAACTAATTCCATCTGCAAAGACCCTACTTCCAAATCCAGTCACGTTCTGAGAAGAGAACGCTGTCAAGCCCAGCGCTCCTGCAGATCATCACTTGTCTTCCCCACGGTGCTGGAGTTCAGGGGGCATTTTATAGGCCTTAGAACTTGTCGGGTAAAGAGGACGCTGCCCCTGCATTGGGACTCTGCGTGAAACCGCAGCCGCCCCTGTCCTACCTCACATCCTTCTCCTTCCTCCTCAGGCCTTACTGAAAATGGACTGCCAGGGCCTGGTGGTCAGACTCATCCAGGACTTCGTGCTGCTGACCACGGCGGTCGAGGTGGCGCAGCGCTGGAGGGAGCTGGCGGAGAAGCTCGCCAAGGTGTCCAAGCAGCAGATGGACGCGTACGAGTCTCCCCACCGGGACAGGAACGGGGTCGTGGACAGCGAGGTGAGCGGGGGCCGCGCTTCCCTTGACCTGTAAAATGTGGTTACAACAGTGTCTACTTTATAGTATTTTTCTGGGGACAAATTATGAGTTACAGAGTGAAAGCAGGTGCCCAGCACACAGTCGGCTCTCACCAAGTGGGGGCCAGTCTCATCCTTCTTGGGGTTATTTGTCATGAGTCCTGGCTCTGATGGTGGCAAGGCCACTCCACCGTGAAGAAGGAAGTTGGAACGGCATCAGTGGAACTGCCCGTCCCTGGCTAATCCTGGTCTTAAGTTACCTTCGGTCAGAGTGAATAATGCATAAGGGAGCCCTTTGTGACCGGTGCTGGGCGGGTCTCAACCTGGGACTGTGTTGGGTGAATACCTGCTGTGTTGTGTGACGTTGGCCAGAGCTGATCCGTTTCCTGCTCAGAGAGTCTTTGTGTTCTCTCTTGTTTGTGGAGTTCGCTGTAAGTTTCCGGAAAGACAGTTCAGGCTTAGGAGACCCAGGAAGCAGGAAGTCCCAAGAATAAGGGTGTTCTTTATTAACACGGTGAATTTCTAAGTAAATGGCTCAGATAGAAAGCGCTACAGGAATTGTAAGGGGGAGAAATCTTTTCTGTTTGTCCAGACACCATTTGCTAGGTACCTACTCTTGCACAAAACTCATTCTTCCCTCTGAAATTTGCTGGCCCGGGACAGAGATGGTTCCACCTGTTTCTTTGGGTTTGTTTCATGCTTGAAAGAGTAGTGTAAATAATGAGCAAAGGAGCTGGAGCAGGTAATAGAAGAGACGAAACTCTCACTGTCCCCTAATCTTCCCCTCTCCCTCCTTTTGTTTTGCACGACTCTACCCTCCAGGCCATGTGGAAACCTGCCTATGACTTTTTACTAACCTGGAGCCACCAGATTGGGGACAGCTACCGGGATGTCATCCAGGAGCTGCACATAGGCCTGGACAAGATGAAAAACCCCATCACCAAGCGCTGGAAACACCTCACAGGGACTCTGATCCTGGTGAACTCCCTGGACATTCTGAGAGCAGCTGCCTTCAGTCCTGTGGACCATGACGACTTCGTGATTTGACTGGATGCCCTCTCCTCATTGCTGTTCTGGGGCCCTCCGTCTGCCCTGGATGCCTGGTGCAGTCATGTGGAGCCGGGGAGGGAGGAAGGGAGGGTCGGCTGCTCAGACTGATCCAGGGTCTGTCCCTGGTGGACCCGCACCCAAGGACCAAGGACCAAGCACACGCAAGGCTCCACCCGCCTCCCCCATCGCGGGGGAGGCCTGAAGGGAATTTCTACTGCAGGTCGTTGCCAATCAGATAGCTTTCTATTTGTTAAGTATAAACTTAAATTTAAAATCACTTTTTTTAAAGTATGGGGGGAGGGGGCATATGAGAAAAGTGGTATCTAATTTTTTAATGGACCGTAAAGGTGAAAAAAAAAATACACTTAATAGGAGCAGATGCTGTTGAGGTTTTTATGTGATATAAAGACCTTTTTAAATTATGTTACAGATGTATATATGTATTTAAGGGTCATGGGGGGCATTTCTGATTCCCGGACACACTTTGCATTTCAACTTAGCACGGAAAGGCGCTCATTCAGGTATTGGGCCTTTTCGTACTTGGTAAAAAAGTGGATCCAATAGGAAACTTGGTTTTTTGGTAAATGAACGTAGTTCAGGCCCACTCGTTCTGAGAATGTCCTGGGTCCTGCTCTTCTCTCATTTGTATTCTCTTCCATGCCTTTGCCCCATGGTGCATAAATGATCAGGCACAGCAGTGTGAGCCTTGCTTGAGCTGTGGTGGGCGGAGTTAAATCCGACGCGAGCAGTTAGGTGTCCTTGAGATGAGAGGGCAGCTGGGCGTTGGCGTTCTGTATGGCCCCTGCCCGTGTGCAGTTGGTCGTTCAATAGAGCAATGCCATTGGAGTGAGTTGGTCCCTGCAGCTCCAGGAGGCCACTGTCATGTGTCTCCCCGGGGGCAGGGGAGCGTTTCCTGCAGAGCTGTCCCATCTCTGGGCATGAAGGAGACTCCACCACCAGGGATACCCTGTGCTGATGTACAAACGGGCCTGCTGCCATTTTCCAACTCTCCACTTCATTCCCTCCAAAATTTAACCCTCTCCCTTCCTGGGATACCCATGTCTCCTTGGAAATAAATAGTATAGGGAAACCTTTCTGTTTTCCTTCAATATAGAGATTATCTGAGCAGGATGAACATTTTCTGAAAATGAAAATGTTTCCCGCGTAAAGTCTGGGACTTGACAGAGTTGCGTTAATAATCTTTACAGTCGTGGATCAACTTGCTGTGTTAAATTCTACGATTGCATTGTAGTTGCAGCATCTCAGAAGGGAATAAGGGGCAGGATTGAAGGAAGATTGGGCAAATCAATAGAGTTGGTCCCCAGGAATGTGCCAGGACATACACTGTGCTTGTATGAAGTGACGTTGGGCTATTTGGGATTCCTGAACCTTAGTCTCTAAATCTCCTTTCTTGAAACATGTTAACTACTTAGTGTAATCAATGTATAATCCCTTCTTGAGCTAAAACATTCTTAATATATCTATTGATTCAGATACTGGAGACCAACTGGTTAGAAAGAACAACAACAAAAACACTGCATATTTTATGCTGCAAGAACCAAGACACACAATTCCCCACTCATCACATGAAATAACCTTAGATTCCGCTTCTCGACTTTCCACATTCTCCCCAGAGATCATCTCTTACCTTTTCCCCAAAGAAGAAACAAAACCAGTTGCACCTTAAACCATGGATATTTTTCCTCAGGGGCTTTAAATAGTTTCCTATGCAACATGTCTTGTAGCACAAAATAAACTCTACAAAAGTTGCAGTAAATTTTATTTGGATATTTTAAACTATTGAGTGTGTGTGTGTTTTTTTTCTGTACCCAACCAGACTTTAAATAGAACTAGTGTAAACAGCTGTGCATAGAACAATGGCTCCCTTCCCAGTCACCCCTGGATGACAGTGTGACAGTGGATATCTGTCTTCTTGCTATTAATTTAATTGCTCTTGAAACATAGGGGTCTCGGTCATCACGGACCAGTGGGATCCAGTGTTGCCCGGAGCGCCCAAAGGATACAAGTGGATGGCTTGCCTTTTTCTTGGCCCTGAGCACCTGGAACTGGGAATCCAGCCTTTCTGTGTGTCAGGCATCATCCGTTAGGTGCCAGTGCAGCAAGCAGGACTCCCAAGGGGCCTGCCCTCGCCGTGCCCTAGCAATACCACGTCGTCGAGGGAGAGAACAGAGTGGAGGAGTGACTGGTGGAGACCAGCCCTGCCTGGGGGTGGTGGGGAGGAGTGGGGCTAAGGACAGCCTCCTTGAAAAGTGACTTTAATCCAAGGAGCAAAGGCTGAGTAGGAATCAGCTGGCCCAAGTCCTGGGGAACGGAGGGTCTGCAGCATTGAGAGAGTACGTGGGACCACAAGAGGCTGACCCCTCCCTCGGGGCTGGGGCGTGCCCAGTGAGCAAGGACCTCTGTGAGCGCTCTTCTACCCTCCGTGCATGTTAATTCTAGTCCTGCCAGCTAAGTCTGCCCACCCAGTTGGGTTCAATATGGTCCCGTAACTTAACGACTATCAGCAGAGGTGGAGATTTTAACCCAGGGCTGCCAGAACAAAGCCACAAACTGAGTCGCTTAAGAACAAATTTAGTCTCACAGTTCTGAAGGTCAGAAGTCCAAAATCAAGGCATTGTCCCTCTGTCTGTCTCCAAACCTCCCTCCCCTTATAAGGACACCAGTCATGGATGAGGGCCCGTCTGAATTGAGTATGACCTCATCTTAACTTGATTGCATCTGTAAAGACCCGATTTCCAAGGTTGCATTCACAGGTCAGCTGTTGAGTTGGGACTTCAACATAACTCTTTGAGGGACACAGTTCAATCCACAACACTGCTTCCAGTGCCCCAGCCTTTGGATGTGGCTTGTGTTGGGAGAATGGTGAAGGAATCCAGTTTGACCTATCTCGGTGTCCTCTGCCCAATTAAATGCAAAAGCCAGAGGGGTGGAGGGAGGTAATTCTTAAGGGGGAAACCACTTCTGATGGGACCTGCTTTATTCACCAAAACCCACTTTCTTCCTGAGCAAACAACTGGACAATTTCCCAACCTCCCTTACAAGTAGGTGTCGCCATGTGATGCCAGTGGAATGTGAGCAAAAGTGATACAGGCCACCATCGGGCCTGGCCCATAGAACCTTCCGGAAAGAACTCCAGCGACCTAAAGATGAAGAGTCAGACAGCAAGATCCCAGGTCCCTGAATGACTCTGGGAAGGCTTTCTGTCCAGCGACATCTTTATCACATCGTGACTAGAGTTTACTGTCAGGCCATTGAGGCGGTGAGAGCTGTTATGGCAGTGGGCGTGACCTTAGTCTCAGGTACAGTGTACCCAGATTATTACTGTAATTTAAAAACTGGAGGGGAGAGGGGTATGCTCTTAAAACCACATCTGCATTATTTCAGGAACAGATTAGAACTCAGTCACACTAATTTTTCTTGGCCTCTGCAAGTCCGGAGTTGGTGAGTACCAGTCAGAATATGAACAACTTTTATATTTTACTGCATATTCTCCAGGCCAGTCCAGGAAGCTTAGTCAAAACCTCCAGTCCTTTATTGATGTTGATTTTGACACTAATGGTATTGCTGATAATTCACATATCTAATTACGGTATTTGTAAGTGTTCTTTAGGACCAAATATTCAGGAAAAAGATTTAGTTGAAAAAAACTGTGTTCTGATTTCCCAAGAAAAGGGCCATTTTGTCCTTGATAAATTCCTGCCTTGGTCTTCACGTGACCGCCGTGCAGTCATCAAATGGGGCCTGCACCAAATCATTGATTTGGTGGTCACCCAGCCCCCACGACCTCCAAGTAGTCTCGCGGACCTGACTGCAGCAGCCAAGCCCAGCTTGTTCCTGGGCCCTTCCCCACCAGCCGTCACCAGATCCCAGTGGCCCGTAGGTCACCTACTGCCGTGATTGGACTTACAATCTTTTCCTTGTCCCTTTGCTCTCACTCCTTTTTTTGGTTAAACTATTCCAACACCCTCCCACCTGGTCCACTTTCCCACTGTCTCTCTGCCCCCACATCCATGGGATACAAGAAGAAGACCCAGAGACCTCCTGCTTCCTGCCGTGCGGTCAGCTCTGGGGTACCCAACCCTTGGCTGTGCTGCCCACACCAACTCAACTCCCTTGACCGTCTCCCCTTCTCACACCTCCCGCCTCTGAGCTGTTCTCTCGAGCTGACATGCCTCTCCTTCCTTCTCCATCAGCCACACAGAGCTCCTTGAGGGCAGCGACCGTGTCCAAACTCACAACTGAATCCCGAGAGCCTGGCGCAATAAATGTTTGTTTCGAGAAGGAATTGACCATATCCCTGGGATAGAAATGCATCTCAGAATATGGATGGCTTTGGCTATTGGAGTGGATAGAATGGGTTTTGTGCTGTGTTCACACGCAACCAATGTGAAAAATAAGTGAGAACTTGTCCAGCAACGAAGGCATCAAAACCAGCTTGGATTTTAAGAGGGGTTCAAAGAGAAACACATCACCGGGATGGAACTCAATGAGGTGTACACCAAAAGCAATTACATGTCCTAATGATTCATTTCCTGGCACAAGGGAAACGTCAGCTTGGGCCATGATTTATGCTGTAATAAAATTCAGTTTTACGTAAAATAAATAGAAATGGCCTTGTCCTAAACAGTTAAGAAACCTGAATTCTGGGGGAAAAGGAGTGCCACCAGGTGCCCAGACTTTGCTTAGCAACTGTGGTCTATGCAAGGTTTGTCCCGTTTAACCTTCCTGACGACCGTGGTCTCAAAGATGAGGAAACCAAGGCTCACAGAGGGCCAACAGGCTCGACTGGCACAGCGGCCAGGCCCAAGCTCTGTCCTCCCTCGGCCGTGCCATTGTGTTCACATCAGAAACAGAAAGAGCGTAACAGCCATTGCATGAGAAACAGATAGCCAATGCCAGAGCGGGGGGAGTCCCATCAACAACTGTGCTTTGAGATGGGGTGAGATGGAGTGAGATGAGCTGTCATCCTTTCCCCCTCTCCCTCACAGATCTCTTCTGGAACGTATGTGCAAGATAACCGTTACCATTTTGTGCCTATTTCCCTAAAACCCTAAATATTTGAAATATTTGCACTTAACCAGTTTTCCTTATTTTTTTTAAATTTCCACTTTATTGACATGTAAACAAAGTTTTCCTTTTTTAAGACTCACTCGTTACCATCAAAAGAGCTCATCCTACATTGGTTGCACAATCTGAATGTGCTTAACACTCCCCACCTGCAATGAACCGCTGAAAAATGGTTAAGATGGTAAGTTTTGTTATGTATATTTCACAAGGATTTTTTTTAATGCGAAAAAAAAGTCACAGCCCCAGTTTCCCACACTCCCAGAGTCTGATTATGAAAAATAGGGAGTGGAGTCAGGGGTGGAGGGAAGTTCAGGGCTCCTAAGTCTGTTTGTGCCTGGACCCCTTTGGCAGATGGCTGGAGCCCATAGACACCTCAGAATTACATAAATGCATAAAAGAAAAAAATCTGGGATTGCAAATGAAAGTAATTTTATTTACACACAGTTCCCAGAAGATTTTTAAAAATCGTGTTGTGGTAATAGATGCACTTCTATATGTGTTAAATAACACAGTCTACTGGTAGATGTCATATCCACCATCATCAGCATAGTGATGAGCATTGCGCTAGCTGTGAAAATGTTAATGGATAGAAAAGTATCTGAGATTTAGAAATTGTGGACAAAAATCACAGCGATTTCTAATATTACAGAGGTTTCTTGCCTACATGCATACTTGAAGGAACTGCTGATGTTCAGTTAGAGATTAACGAAAATAAAGATTACTAAACAAAAAAGGAAGCTCATTCTTAGGAAACTGAATCACCCAGGTTTGCTATACCCGTTGTTCTGGATCGCTTGTATTATTATTTGCTGCTCCAGGTTGTCAAGAATGGTATTTTTAAAGCTTTGCTTCTCTGATCCAATATTCTACCTAGTGAAGGAGAAGGAAAACTTGAAGAATTAATTGGCTGTGTCTATGACTTCTTAAATGTTTAAA